TGATGGTCCGCAGCCTCCTGCCAGGCTCCAGTTGCATCAGATGCTGCATTCAGTATCAGTATTAGACAACTGTTACATAACCTTACGTAAAGCCCAGCCACTCAGTTGTTTGTGGTTGTTACTGGTCAACAGTAATCAGAGTTAAACTCCCTGACAGACAGTATTATTTTGTGTTTTCAGTGGTCTTTCTCAGCCAACATGCTAGTGTTGGACCCCGGTAAGAGATACCGTGTCTCTGTCTTCAACATCCCCAAACCAGAGCTGGACCACAGCAGCTACGACGTCAGCACTGATGTCTTTGTTCCAGGTGAGTTTTAGTTGAAAACAGCATTAGGTTGTTGTTGTTGTTTTGGATTGAGCAAATGAAGTGCACCAGGAAGAGTTTCTCCTTTTGGTCTCCTGAAGCTCCTACCACTGTTCGGTTGAAGTTCTGAGTGAGTGTACTTGGATTTTATTAAAGCTGCAGTAGTGTAACTTTTATAAGAAATAATTTTTTTGGCATATTGCTGAAATTTTCATTATTGTTCCTGGACCGTAGTACACGCGAAGAACATTCTGTGGAAAAGATCGCTTCCTCTGGCTCTCTTAGTGTCTCCTACATAGTATTTGCAAGAATCCACCGACCTGATTGAAAACAACCAATCAGAGCCAAGAAAGATAGTTTATTGTGGAAGCTCATTCCCATGTTGTCAAATACCAATGCTGGGAAATAATCAGCTACTTTCAAGCCACCAGTTTTCCGATTAATTTACATTATCTGTGTAATTCAATGAATTACTAATTAAATGAATTACTAATTAAACCATCTAATTTGTATTCAGTAATTGAAGTAATCTGACCCAACACTGATCATTTGGACCACATATGAAAAGTGGCCCAAATCAGAATAGATTCAGATTCAGATTCCATGTGATTTTCAAAAAACATCAGATTTGGGCGCTTGTGCCTTCAGTGTAAGGGTACCTTTTGTGCATCTGGTGTCATCTTCACTTTGCTCATTTAAACTTTGAGTCCTCTTGACTTTAATGCCATTCTTTGATTCTGGTTTACCCAGATTGTCAAGATCCAACAATTCGGGGGACCCAGTTTTGCATAGAGAGAGGTGAGACCTTGGTATTCTAAAGTCCATTCAGAGTGTGTTATATTTCTAAGCAAATTTTAACATGTTGTCTTGTCGCTGTACTGTAGGAAGTCTTTGGCAGCCCAACATCACTCTGGGTCAGACTAAAGTCAGTGGAAAATCTGCGCTGGCTGTCAGCTTCAGCCCTGACAGACTCTGTGAGGAGTACATAGTTATTGTCCGCTGCTCCTCTACCCAGAAGGTACAGGGTACGTACAAGGTAAGCTCCCATTCAAATGCTTCTCTGTTACAAAAAATACTCCTGCAATAGGCTGTCTCATACAGAAGATAAATGCATTTTCCTTTTCAGTCATTTGACCCAGAACATTACTGTAGGTGCTCATTACAGCATCCTGTGTTTTGTACTGTAGCCTACTTTTTACCCCAGTTTTTGTTTTTGTTTTTCAGTACAGCAAACTATGTGCCCCACCTCACCTCTGCAGTGTTTTTGCTGCTGTTTGTAGAACAGGCTTCTCATTCTGTTTGAAAACCACTTGAATAAATGTAACTGTCTACCTACTGCATAGAGAATATTCACGTGCTATTTCAAGGTGTATAACATTTAGAAGGATCTATTGTCAGAAATGGAATATAATATTCATAGGTATGTTTTCTCTGGTGTTTATTAACGTGAAAATAAGAATTGTTGTGTCTTTGTTACCTTAGAATGAGCTTTTTATATCTTTTTATATCTTCCTGGAGTCAGCCATGTTGAACCGCTGTGTTTCTACAGTAGCCTAGAACAGACAAACCAAACACTGGCTCTAGATTGGGGCGTTTGCATTTTTGTGCATTTCAAAATCACTCAGGCTTGAAAAGGGAGGGTGAAGTGAGTGAGTTGCAATCTGCAACTACACCACTAAACCCTATGCACTGTTTCTTTAGAGGTTAGATATATGAAATTGGATGTCGCATTAGAGCACCAGCATCTCAGAACAAAACAAATGGGAAAAAAACTTAATAGAACTCATCAAAACTGTCTTTGTTTGTCTTTCAAACAGTTGAAATAGACCCTTAATTCACTGAGTCAGAAAATTTGTTGTGGTGCTTTTTATGGCTTTTTGATAGGACAGATCAAGATAGAGAGGAAAGGGGGAGAAAGAGAGGGGTTGTGACATGCAGCAAAGGGCCACCCGGGGTGTACGCTGTAATAAGTGAACTACCATGTGCCCCCAGGTTCTAAAATTTTATTTGATTCATTTGACATCTCAAACTATACACTGTCAAACACTGCGACAAATACATACACATTGCCTCTGACAGGCTTACACTGTTGTTCTAAGTGTCTGACAACATTATGGAACTCCTTACTCTTAGACAAAAATGCTCATTTTACATACATTTTACATATCATAGTAACTTTGTAACTCACCAAAACCGTCTTTGTTAGTATTTCCACTGTTCCAACAATCACCAACTCTGATTTGGTGGAAATAAGTCCATAATTCACAGCTTAGCTGAAGGAGACTGGCTATGCAAACAAACCACAAAGAGTTGCGATAGCAACACAGGCAGAGGGAGTGTAATAGTATTACTCCACTATATCTTTACATAGCTTTTAGTAGTTTTTTTTTTTAAACCTCATATATATAACCTTTAAATTGTCTTTACTAGTAGCTCTAACTAAATAATGATTTATATTATGTAAAAGTCAGAATGAGGGGTTATTACACATTGAGTAAACGTAACACAGACCAGGTTCTTAGGGGGATCTTGGTCTAAGTGTGACGCCAGGGAATGGTGCACCTGTGTGCCTTGTGCCAAAAAATGATGATCATTATGGCCATTTCAAAAGCTTAGTTGAATTATGTTCTGCTATACTGAGAGCTGTTTCTAATACAGTACATAGTCAAACCCTCAATAAAACACATGGGGTGGTGGGATTTATTGGAGGGTTGTTGTATTACACAGCATTCGTTTTAGCTAGGTGTACCCAATTAAAGATACAATAAATAATAAAAAAATAAAAAAGCCCCAAAAATAATCTTTAAATGTTTTCTTTCCAAATTTTCATAAACAGACAGGTTCAAATGTACCAGAATTATACATATTTGAATTGATGATTATCTTGATAGTGCTCTTACTTTGTCTTTTTTATGACCAGTACTCAGTACCTAAATGCTGTGCCTCAATGATAAAACTATTTTTAAAAATCTCTTGTCTAGGCCAATCAGAAGACCCTAAATGTAACATTCAACCTTGATAATTGGCCGAGACACTGCTGCCGGTTTGAAGCTGAGGTAAGTTTTCTTAAATCCATTCTGCTGAGAGATATGTAGTGTATTACTAAACTCTTTTTTTGTCATCTGGCAATACCTCTGCATCATCTATGAACACATTTGACCTTCATGTTAGAGTTAACATGATTTTATTCTTCACTGCAGATCAATCCTCTTTTCCCACAATGTGGCCCGGACTGTGTCCGTCGAAAAACAACTAAGGATTTTTGTCGTGGTATGTTGGCAGATATGGAATATCAATATCATGGCTGGAGAGTAGATGTGGAGATGCTCTATGTGGTGGTTGTGGTACAACACCCCTTACGCTGAAATTCCACCAGACACGTCTTTATGACGCAGTGTCTCCGACATGGTCTGGCTTTAGATTCCAACTGAGAGCATTTCAGAAGTCCTCAGAGCGTGTTGCCTGCCTGATGTTGTTGACTGTATTTTTTCCATAAAAAGAAATGGTGGTGTTGTACAAAAGACAGCACACTCAAATACAGACGAGCACGGACTCACAATACAGAGAAGCACACACGTCAAATAAGCAGAAGCACACACTCAAAACGAGACAGCACACTCAAAGTAGCAGACAGCACAAACCAATATAGCAGACAGCAGCACTGCAGGAATACAGACATGGCAGGCTGAGGTCAGAAGTACAGGACAGCATCAAACCAGAATACAGACGAGCACACTCAAATACAGACAGCAGCAACCAAATGACAGACAGCAGCACTCAAATACAGACAGCACACTTCAAAGTACCAGACAGCCAACACTCAGAATAGCAGACAGCACAATCCAAATACATGACAGCAGCACCAAATACAGACGGCACAGCTCAAAGTTAGCAGATGCAGCACAAGTACCAAATACAGACTATGCACATGACCAAATACGACGCCCACTCATAATACAGACAGCACAACCAAATACAGACAGCACACTCAAATACAGACAGCACAACCAAATAGCTGCAAAACATTCCTCGCGATACTACTTTCTCCACGGTCTGTGTTCACTGCAAAGGAATGCTGAATCACCTCTGTGCTGGCAGTGATGAAGAGGAAGTTTGCTTTGAGAAAAGAGGCAATGAAGTATTGAATAACTGCCAGGAAAGATAAGTGCTGATAGACTGTCCCTACACGGAGACACCATGTTTATAAATGCAGCTTGTACAACTTGCTACTGCAGCTACATTATAATGGAATATTTGTTTTTCTGTAGCCTGTTTATTGATTTTTTAATACCGACAACTTCTGCTTTTTAACTGCCCTCCCAAAACTGCCACCACCAGTATGACAACAGGGACAATAACGTACTACAGAAAAGTGCACTTTCCCGAAATATGTTTCCTTATTTCCTTCTTCCTTGCACCTTGAATATCAGCAACCACAATGTACGTGAAAGAAATGAGGAAATAATTAGGGGAATTGATTCAAACAAACAAAGTGAAAATTCCTTCCCTTACGCACAGCTCACAATGACAATGTTAACACGCGGATGTTTAGAAGGCAGTCATGTAAGTCAGTAGGCTTCATCATGTGGGAACCAACTCGGTTAGCTCTTAAAGAATTGTGGGATTTATATATTTCCGAACATGGGGAATTATTCATAGGCCTAGGCTATATTAAAATAAGGTTCAAAATCACTTCCAAGGCAGGCTTCTCAAATAAGTCCACTGTTTGACCAACATGAGCAGCCAGAAGTGAGCATGTATCAAGTTGGGTTTTTAATAATCACAGTTATAACTGTAATATTATCACACAATGTACATAAATGAATCTTAATGTCAGTTAGTGTTGCAGTTTCAGCACTGTGTACACACACCACCAGTTTCAATGTTTATTTTTGAGCTAAATGGCCACTGTGACTGGCCAAGACTTTAACTAGCCAAGTGGACTGCAAATGTCATACTTTACTCTGTAGAAACAGCAATACTGCTAATCAATGAACTGTGTTCTGATTTTTTCACAGTTATGCGACCAGATGCCCCCAGAATCTCTCTGTACACATTTGTCGCCCCAGGAGTAGTGTTCATGTGTGTAGTGATGGCAATTATTATGTACGTCCTCTGCAGGAAGCCAGGTTAGTCAATACAGTTTCATTTCCATCTCTATTGAGTCCTGTCTTCAAGATTCATCTAATTTCATTCAGAAACAGGTAATTCGGTTTGAAATTTATCAGAACGTGCTGATCATCTTACTGGTACTCTTCTGCACTTTCAGGCCAACGTGGTGTTGCTCCAGAACCTATGAGAATTGAGAAACCACTGACACATATACAACCCCCCAAAGTGCTGGTCATCTACTCCCAGGACCACCACCTCTACAAGGACATCGTGCTAAAGCTCTGCGCCTTCCTCCAAGCAAAGTGTGGCACCAAGGTGCTGGTGGACTTGCTAGACTCCACCTCAATTGGCATGGTGGGTCGCATTCGCTGGCTTGAGTGGCAACGGCAGCAGCTTAAAAACCCCTCTGACAAAATACTGGTCCTGTGCTCGCGAGGTGTCCAGGCGAAGTGGAGGGCCATGTGCGGTCATGGTCGGGTGACACTGAGGGAAGATGTCCTCTCCCCTACAGACGACATGCTCACTCCCTTTCTCAACCTCTTCCTACCAGATATGTACCAGGCAGGCAAGCTGGGAAAGTACATGGTGGCTTACTTTGATGAAATCAGCAGCGATCAGGACGTGCCATCTGTTTTTGACATTGCAGTCAAATACAAGTTGATGAAGCATTTTGAAGAACTGTACTTTCGCATCCTAGACATTGAGAAGTATCAGCCAGGGCAGGTCAACCGCATCAAGGGCATTGGAGGGGACGAATATTTCAACTGTACCCCAGGTAGAGATTTGAAAAATGCCATCGAAACCTTCCAGGCCTACCAGTTGGACAATCCTGATTGGTTTGAGAAGGAGTGTGTGCACAGTGAGGAGGAGGTCATGACTGAGGCCAATGTCCTCATTAAGCAGCTGCAGATCCCTCCAGTCCTCGAGTGCGTTCCTCTAATCAGAGAAGGACTTCCTGTCTGCATGCATGAGGTAAAAATCAACGAAAATTGCAACAGTGTTCACGTCCTGTCACCTGAGCTGAACACTGAGCGCGAACTGTCGTCAGTGGTAGAACTTACTCCAGTTGTGAACCTTGAGGGCAAACATCTGTATCCGTCAGACCTGGATGAGGTGTTCACATCACATCACCTGTATCCTCAAAGCCCCAGTCCACAATCTGTCTACGTAGTTGAGCCTGTTCAGAACAAGCCGCCACAACCAAGACAGAGCTGGCTCTACCTCAAGGAAGAACCATTGGGTCAAATTCCCACTGAGGATGATGAAGAGGATTCCCTACTGCCTATGAGCCAATGCTCCACTCATTCAGACCACAGAATCTGGGCCCCACAGAACTCCCTGGATTCATACTCTCCAGAATCCCCGTGTGCCAGCATGCAGAGCCAATATTTCCCTCCATCCCAAATCAGCCATTCCCAGCCTGTGGAGATGCAGGACTATGAGGTTCTGGAGCCCAGTGGGAAGGGTCAGAGCAGTGGATCTGATCAAGGCTACATCTCCAAAATGTCCTCCCAGCATGAACCCCCTATCAAAGAGGATCCACTGGCAGCTCTTAGAAGGCTGCAGGAGGAGCTGTTTCAGAAGAATCTTAGATACTCTGATATAGATACTGAAGGAAACTAATGCTCTGTCCACCCCCGGCAATAAGTACTGAACCTTCACTGACTTACATCACCTCTTTGACATCCTTTCCATGTAGGAGGATGTAAAAAGAGTATCAAACGAGTTAAATGCTCTTGTGATCAAAAACTTTGCTCTGAAGATCATTTCTGAGGCTGTTCTGTAAATAGTTTGCTTATAGCAACTTTTGATCTTTTGCATCATTAAAATCAATGTGATCATACCTTTAAAGAACAAAGAAGTATACGCAGTAACTGGTGCAATGTACACATAGATTTGCCATGTCAGTTTTTTCCAACACGTTTTCATCCTAGGTCACCGAATACAGACATGTCTGTATGAGACACACCAGGTTGCCACAAAGCCCTTTTAACACGTGGTTAACA